TTGAAGGGGCTACAGACTGAAGAATGTAAGACGTTTCAGAAAGATATTGGTTAGGGTTATATCCTCATTTGACACGGAGGAACCTGGAACTTGGAAAGGAGCTCCTAAAAAGGGCCATGGCAAAAAAAAAAAAAAAAAGGTTGGGAATGGCTAGTCTAGAGCCTATTTTTTTGTTTGTCTGTTAACTATACCTGTTCATATTTTTCCTTCATCTTCATTATCTCATTCTCCTTTCCTGTTAGTAGTTCTAGTAAATAAATAAAAGAAATAATTAGTGTTCATCATATTTGGCAACAAATGTGTCATGTGCACCAACAAGATTCCCCTCACCAGTGTACATTCTAAGCGCTTTGTAGTGTTTGGAGGCTTACAGAATATCTTCCCTAGTGTGGAGGCTCCATTCGACAGTGGTCGTTTTCACTAGTACTCAATCAGCTCATGAAGCCACAGTTTGAGCCGTTGGTTATAACAGATCTAAGACTATATACAAAACTGTTTCTAGTAGCAATCATTTCAGCATGCAGAGCAAGTGAACTGTGCACTCTTTGGCATGATCCACCTTTCCTGCAATCCTATAAGATCACCATTTTCTCCAGTATGTTTTTCCTACCTAATATAGTTTGGGACGAGCATCTTAACCCACCCTTGGTACTTCCAACCTTCTTCTCATCGCTTACTACGGAGGTGGAAAAAGCACTTCACACATGAGTTGTTTGCAGAGCCCTAGCTTTCTATACTTCAAGATCTAGGCTTTTCCAGAAGTCTAACAAAACATTTTTTTCAGTTACCAGGGGTTGCAAATTGGGGGAACAGATCACATCTCAGCACTTATCAAAACGGCTTATGAACACAAGGATGCTGCCTTGCCAGCTGACAAAGAAACCTGTCCCTAAAGGTCTGAAGGGACATCCCAGTAGAGCTGTTGCCGCATCTCCAGCTTTTCTCGGAGGGATCCATTTAAGAAACATTTGCATAGCCACATGATCTCAGTCCTCAACATTCATTAAACACTCTAGGTTGGACATCAGGGTTAAACTCAATGCTGCATTCAGGAGAGCAGTAATTTCATCTGTTTTGCCATGACACACAGAGAAGAAAAAGAAGAGGCTACTTCCCTGTAATTGTGGTTCTTTGAGTGGTCATCTGTGCATTCACACAATCCAGCCATACAACTATTTTTTCCACGACAGTGGTTGGCTGTGGGAACTGAGGAACAACCGTTAGGAATGGGAGCTGCAGGGAGCTAGTCTAATGGTTTTCCTATGTTCTGAGGGCTTTGCACAGGTGCAGAAAAAACCCACATGTGTGAATTCACAGAGGACCACTCGAAGAACCACAGTTACAGGTAAGTAACCTGTTCCTCCCTTCGAATTTACTGTTGGAAACAGCCGTGCGTTCACATCCTTGTTTTCCCTTACAGTCTCCTGCCATGGGAAGTCATTATTAGTAGGCATTTATCACTTATGCCATTGCTGATGTTCAGGGTACTGTGTCAAGGGATTCATTATTCATGTTGTTTAGACCACGCTGAAGAGACACCTTCTGAGGAAGAGACAGAAACTAGCAAAGGAATATATTTCTGACTGAAGCTAGAATTTAATGAGCATTTTTTTCCTGCTCTCTGATCCTGGCCATCTCTAAAAACATGATTTTGCTTACCATGAACTTTAGGAAGAAACTTTTCCAGATGTCTGCAACTTTTTGAGAGATTCCCTGCTTGAGAGCAACTATACAAAAATGGAAAGGGGGCTTTGTCTGAGGACTTGTGTTCAAATCCATTTTTAGCCATGAAGGCTGCTGTGGCCCACCCACATTTCTCAGTGTAACCTTCCTCCCAGAGGTCTTGTTGCAGATCCCCCAAGCCTGGTTGAGCAGTTCTGCTCAGAAACAGTGCTTTTTGTGGTTCCTGCAAGCCTTTGCTTCTTACTTAGTGATCACACTAAGCTGCCTGGAAGGGGAATGAGACTAGAAAGATAAGGCCACCCTTTAATCACAATGGCTCCATCAAGGCTGCTCGCTCAGCTGCTGGGCTGGGATGTGAAGGAAGATTTGTAATGGTTTGATCATCAGATCCTTTACTAGAGACATTGGACTTCAAATCCCTGATCAGTTGCAACCATTCACCGGTAATCTTGGGTCAGTTCCTGTTTACTCATTCTTTATGAAGATAGAACAGAATGATTCTACTTGTATTTTATCTTCCTTACTTCTCTAGAGGGGAGGGTACAACTCAATGTGGCAAAGCATAGATATAATGTTTGCAACCCTAACCCTTACCTCCCATGGAGCACAAGAAAGTCCATGCAGGGGTCATCCAGGTTTAATCTCACAACCACTAGGTGAAGTAGATTAGTCGGAGAGGCTCTTAAGATTTCGGGTTGAATCCTTCCTATAGTGTTTCCTATAGTGTCATTCAAGAAGCGGTTGAAGTGTTCAGGGAGAATGCTAAGAAATACTGAAAAATGAAAACTTAAAAAAAAATCCATGTGAAAAAGGAACAGAACAAAGGCAAACAAGTTCAGTTCATTTCTGGAAATAACCATGTCTTTAAAAACTAAATTGTCTTTTGGAAGCCACATGCTTGTCTCTAGATATTTCCACACAGAACTTGTTGACTTAAATATATGTATCAGGCTTTTAGACTCATCTGTCTGTAGCTGTCCATGAAAAATGGTGATGCTACACTCTGCTCATGCTTACATTTCTGCAGTGCTGGAAACACTGAAGGGTTATTATGGAACTTACCCTTATTGTGAATACAGCTGTGACCCACACCCTGCCCATTTTGCATGCTCAAGAAAAGGCAATTTGTCAAGAAATCTTAGGTTCTAATTACTTGTCAAAATTAATTTATCTCCCTATCGACAGGTTGAGCTCCTTCCCTTTGTTTAAATATTTTTTTGGTCTGTACTTGGAAATAACTGGTGTGAAAATATATTTGAAGAGGCAATTACTTAATTCCCTGAGGCAATTAAAGCCAATTCTGTTTTTTTTTTTTTTTCAAAAAGTGAACACCTCCAGGATGGCAGCGATGCATTCCTCATGTTGTTAGGTGCCTGCCTCCCATTTCAGAAGGCACAGTCAACTGAATCTAGAGTGGAACTTGACCATGGAAGGTCTGTTCATGTTTGTCTGCTCTGACGAACAAACACATGCCATAGTAAGGAAGCCAAAAAAGATTTGTATGTGGAAGCATAATTTACTATTTATTTATTTGTTGCATCTATATCCTGGCCTTCCTCCAGCAACCTCAAATTGGTATATAAGATTCTCCCTTTCCTACTTCTTCTGCAACATCCTTGTGAGGATGCATGATCAGCTGAAGGTCTTGTGGGGTTTTGAGTTTTAACCAGTAAACCACCCGGAGTAGTGCTTGCACTAATGGGATGGTATATCAATCAATCAATCAATCAATCAATCAATCAATCAATCAACCAACCAACCAACCAACCAACCAACCAACCAACCAACCAACCAACCTACCTACCTACCTACCTACCTACCTACCTACCTACCTACCTACCTACCTACCTACCTATCAATCAGTAAATAAGGTTACCAACTGAGTTTCATGGCCAAGTGGAATAGGACTGAGATCTCCTGAGTCACAATCCAATACTCTGCCAGTGTGATGTACTGGATACAATGGGCTGGAGTCTACAAATATTGAGACAGAGCAAAAAATGAAATAAATAAATTAGGCAATGGAACCAGTTGAAGCAGTATGGAACCAAGTCTAGCACAGAATGGTCTTGTTGAGGGATAGCTGACAAATGTAAAGAAACAAGCATCGTTAATCAAGCAGTTGCAGCGTCCAGATGACTCATTGTCTGTGCCGCAGGGTCCAAAACAGAGCACTGTGGGCTTGCTCTGCTTCAGTGCCCCCGTGAAGGTAGTAAAAGGGAAAGTATCCAAAATTTTCAGCCTGAGGATTGCATTCTCTTCCAGGGACCACCAGCCAACCATGTCCTCCTACCAATATATCTGTACGTGGACAGCCCTGCCAGGATAATCCAGCCACGTGCTTTCCCCTTTCACACATCAGTGCAGCTATGTATCCACCATCATGGGTGTGATTATTGTCAATGGTGGTTGGTGTCTGCATTCTTATCTTCTCCACTCTCCAGCCACCAATCTCTTATTCCTTCTGGAGGAACTTTGAAACATGCGGTGATCTTACGCAGCCTTTCTCTTTTAATTAGTTAAACCCCAATAATAGTATTGTGACAGAAACTGCCTATTCGGGAACCTTGCATAATCATTCTTTTAGTTTTAAGGAGGCAGTGATTATGCTTGGTGATGAAACACTGGATTCATGCCTTACGGAGTCCAGCGTCTTCAAGTATTACTTATAACTTGGATGTAATGAGTTCCAAGAATAACAGTTAATTTGGTGGTGTGGGGAACAAGGATGTAATGACATCACATTTCAAAAGTAATACAATGACAGGATCAAAGTTACTGTTTTTAAAAAACAGTTAAAAACTTGGCTATTTAAGCAGGCCTTCCCTCCAGTCAGCTAAGTTTTTTTTAATTTTCTTTCTCTCACCTTATTCCATTCTGCTAATTTTAATCTAATTGTATTAACTAATATATTAATTGTATTTTATGATTAGTTATATTTTACATTGTCTTATTTTATGTTGTAAGCTGCCCCGAGTAGACATGGTCTAGAGGGGCGGGGTCAATACTTTCTAGTTACTTCCAAAGAGAACATTTATTAGAATGAATTTGATAGCAGCTTTCCATGTTTTATGCCATTCTCTTGTACATCCTAGATTGTTTTTTATGGTAATGGAAAACTAACAAACAGTGGAAGATGTAACATAGTGGAATACTTTTTGAGCACGGCAGCAAGTAATAATACCATTGGGTTACTTTTCAAATATTGTAATGAGTAATGGAATTTAATTAGTTCTTGCAATGAACTTGGTTTTGCAATACAAAACCACATCCTCCAGAGTGCTTAAAAGCAGTGCTTCATTAAAATAAAAAGCATACAGTTGCAGCCATTGCCAAACTGTCAAAATGTTGGCTTTCTCTTCAGCTAGTTTTTTACTCAGTGCCAAGCTGCAGCTAATGGCTACATTATTAATGGCTTGAACCTACACTTGAAAGTTAGGCAGGTGAGAAGCTTTTTCCTATGAAAATGTTCAGAAGATTACCGAACCTAAAGCTTGTGTAGATTATTTTGTTTGCTTGTATATTAAAGGTGATGCTGAAATTGGCCAGAATGCTCATTTACATTTCAAGTGCTTATGTTCTGAACAAACAATTACTTTATGTGTGTTTTTTTAAAATATATATATATTATTAGAGGCTAGACTAGAGTTTACCTGGTAGTTCTAACTAGGTAATCACAGTTATGCAACTAGAACATTTCCCAGAATTATGCAATGTCATACTTGTTGAAAAGGTTAGGTGTTTTCTTTTTGACAGATCTCTCTAAGGGTTTACGTGTTGCATGCAGAAAAACAATGACAGCATCATTTTTTCCAGAGTATTTACTCAAAGAAAGCACAGCTGCTCAGAACAGGAAGATTAAAGACAAGTTCTATAATCTGTAACCTACTATCTTGAAAAAGTACTTCACTCTTCAGAAGTTTTTGTGGGTCACAAATGATAGCTTATAGCCCATATTCACAGCACCTGTGTACATTCTATCCTTTGTCTGCATCTACAGATTGTCAATAAAGTCTCGACTTACTAGGGGTTCAGTACCTGAAAACTACTAATGGATAGCAGGCAGGTAAAATATTTTTTCAGCATAATTAATTTCATTTGGTGGGAAGGGTAGATACTTCCTGGATGAGGAGGAGGAAGAAGAAGAGGAGAAGGAAGGAAGGAAGCGAGGGAGGGAAGCTGGCCGGCCGGCTGGTTACACAAGTGTTTGAGACATGCTATCTCAGACTGACTCATGCAGACTGAGATAGCATGTCTCATGGAATAGGTGAACCACATGGAAAAGGCCCACCCCCAAAGAGAAATCTGGAAAGGAAGAAGGTTTGTCCATAAACTTTCTCCCAGACAAGTTGGTTTAATATCTAGATTGTTCTCATATATAACTGTGCTTGTTCATTTGAACCATTTCACCACAATTGAAAACTAAGCCCAAGTTTAAAAAAAACAAACAAACTCCACTATCTTACCCATGATGTGAAGGAATGGAAATGGCAAGAGAATTTAAGCATTCCCAGAGATTTTAGAGAGCTGGACAGTGGAATCAAAAAGGAACCACTTATGAACTTTCCCTGTTTTGTTTAGCCATGAGAGAAATATTTCTATGGCTGGCAGTAATTTGGTCATAAAAATGTCCAAACATTTGCTGTGCCGTCTTACTGCAAGCCTTGTCAAGAAATTGCCAGAATTCCCATTGACTGGCCACCTATGGAATTCTGGCAGACTATTTGTTACAAGCCAGCTGTGGTGTTTTCATTCTGTATTGGGGAGAGTGCATGCCTAGTTAAATATGCATAATGCATTTTTGGTGCTGGATATTAATATGATGGGAGTTATTTTAAAGATAGTGTGGGAGTTTCTGCTACTAAGGCTCACCTGTGCTTCTTTTGCAGGGAGAAGCTTCATATGTCGGTATTGTTAGCAGTTTGCTCATCTTGATGGGAGTGTCACTTTATTCATCTTCCTGAGATGATTATGTCTGCTGCCATAACTGGTACTCATGATAGCTATGCCAATAGAGAAACAAATGAAGTATAGGGAATCAATTCAATTGAATTCTTCCCAGTGTGCTGTAGATAACAGGAGTTAGTCAGACAATAAGGTGCACACCATAGTTTTCAGTGGCTGATTCAAATGTTTTGGCATCAAATAAACCTTCTAGAGGTTAAACTGTACCCTTTTTCAATCATTTGATGTCCTGCGCAAATCAGAAGCAGGAGACCATGGGCTGCAACACATAATTGAAGGCTGCTTCAGTGGGCAGAGGGGATCAGAATGAAATTAGGGAACCTTGGATAGTTCAGTGTGTACAATGTTCAGAGGAGACCTCAGGTTAGGCATTGTCACATTTTTGCAGAGTTGTTTTCATAGTTGGTAAAATACATCTGTTTGTTATGACTCATGTCTATATAGCTTGAATTTAGTTTTCTTTGTTTTCTTATTCATCATTAGAAGGTAAATACAGGCTTAATTTGCAGGCTTCTACAGGCTTAATTTTCTGAGACATGTATCTCTGAGGAACTCCTCTTCTAGGTGGGAAACAGGTTAATTGTGGGAGATATGTATTCTTCTTAACATCTGGTTTGATCATTAAAGGGGTTGTTTTCTGTACCTTGTCACCCATCTCTTAGTTTTCATTTTGCTCTGGCAAGCAACTGTTAAATGAGACCTGTATCTTGGGAATCTAGCCTGTGGAAGCTTAGTTTGGAGGATTCTGCCCAACAGTTGACTGACCCCCAGCTTAACTATTGCTGCCTCAATCTAGATTATGTACCTCCATGGTTTGAACTAGTCTTTCTGGTCAGATGGTTCCCCACAGGTCATAGGAATTCCCAGTGGAGGAAGTGGGTTGGCATTTTATAAGTAGGATCGTTTCTGCATGTAGTAAGGATTGCAAAGTAGGCATCATCCATCAGTGTTATTGGCCCAGCCTTGTCCTAGGACTGGAAATTTACTTCTGAAAAACTAAATGCAAATAATGTTGACATTGCCCAATTCCCACACAGATTTTAGAGGAGATTGGTGGCTTAGAATACATTGTACTAGCTTGCTGGTAGTGTCACAGCTTGGTGCTCTTCAGAATGTATAATAAACTCTTGTTTCCTGTCACTTTAGATCCATCATGGACCTCTTCACTGGGTTGTAATGTCCGTTATTGCTGTAGTGTTTGGAGGGGCAAAAGCAGGTCAAACACATGATTTGTTCCATTCCAGTTCATAATTGGTTGGAAATGAACAGATGGATGTGGCAAATTAACTCTGTCTTTTCAGGCTCTGTCACTTTGGCAGTACCTGACAGTTTCAGGGTCACAGTAATTAAGGCCAATGTGTTGCTAGTAATCCACAACCTTAATTTTGTACCTCCAGTCAGCGCCCTAATTATGTTTAAGTGCTGTTAGTGTTTGTCCCCAGTATGAAGGCTAGGGCTGCTCTCATTAAGGTCCTTTTTTGGCTAATGGCTCTGTAGCTTTTGTGCTGCCTCATTCAGAGGTCTTTGCTGATATGTGCAGAATTCAAAAATAGTGATTTAGGAACTGCAGCAAACTCCTTGAGAGACTGCTGTCTTGAAAAGGATGGATGCAATATAATCTGGGGTCTCAGATGTGAACATTCTGGCTTGCGTGACCCTGACAGGAGTCCAGGCTAATAATGGAGTCTGGCCTCCTGATGGCATTTACCGCTTTACCATGTTAAGGTGTGGATCCAAGAAGGTTATCTGATTATTCAATCCTACATCTTCCAGTGGCTAAAATTATTTAAGATACAAGAATGGCTGTATTTGGGCAATCAAGTGTTTAATACATCGGAATTAGAGAAGAGGATATTTGTATTCGTAAACAAATATGAACATTCTTGTCCCAGTTGGACCTAATGAAGGTTCAGCCTTGAGACTGGACTGTCCACTCATATGTCCCAACACAGTGAAGGTCTCACTCTTCCCACCAATGGTGCCTGGACCTCTGCTGTCTTCCTGCTTGGCTGGCCACTCCAGGCAACAGAGAGGAGGAGGAATCTGTCTGCATGGCTGCTGAGTAGCCAGCCAAGCTGAAAGATCTCTGGGCGCCATTGGTGGGGAAAGCGGGACTTTCATGGTGTCAGGACATGTGAGTGGATGGTCCGGTCCCTGGGCCCGGACCCTCATTAGGTCCAGCTGGGACAAGGATGTTCATATTTGTTTACGAATACAAATATCCCCACCTCTAGTCAGGATGCACACAAACATCCTGCACATTCAGGCACTCCCTTTGTTTCTCTCTTCATGAGAGTTGGGAAGAAGCCAGAAAGCTTTGATTAATCATGGCTTCTTCTTATTGTAAGTCATGATTAATGATTTCAAAGCAGCCTAAGATTTTGATCATGACTTTCAACCACTTCTTGACCTCGCATTTAGTTGCATAAAGGTAGGAGTAAAGCAGTGGCAAAAGGGTCTGTGTGTGAGGGCATGGAGCTTATATTTAACCAGGATTTCATCAATTAAACCAGGGCCATAAGGCACTGCTGTGTGATAAATCATGTTGTGCTTACAATCCGTGAAATTTTTTTCAGAGCTGCAATAAATAAATAAATAAATAACCATTAAAAAAATAAAAATATTCTTTTTGAAGCTTCTACTTTACATATGCTTTGCTTTCTACACACGTTGATTCTACTCTCATTTTAAAATGAATCCATCACTTTAGTTGACACACAGTTTTGCATGGAAATGGATCAAAACTCTATAAAACAAACTACCTACCAAACCTGTGTCATAGCAGAATGTAATGTCTGTTTGAATTTTGTTTGTTTGTTTGTTTATGAAGTATTTGAAATATTTATATCTTATCAATATTTATATGGAGTCAATATTTATATTCCTCCTTTCATCAAACCTGAGGATTCTAGTCTGGGTCCTTCTTTCAGTTCATATATATTTTTTTGAAAGCTGTTCTCCTGATTTCCCTGAAGAAGACTTGATTGCCACTTGAAACCTTACCTGACCATAATGAAGCAGAATGTAATTCAAATAGGTGACAGTTACTTTGGATTCTGACCTTCAAGAAGGGGAAAGGAGGAAGCAAAGTGTGTGAAAAATGATGGGACTTTACATGTGGTATAGGCATACCTGAAATAAGAATAAGGCATGGTTCCATTTAAAAAGGGCGAATTTGTTTCATGGTGGGAAATTGGTTTGTGTGAAAGAAAGAGGTATTAATGAAACAAATAGTAGAATAAATGGCTAATGTCCAGACTCCTCCTGGATTCATGAAGGCTAAGGAACCAACGGTCTGTTCTACTGTATAATAAGTCTGAAAATTATATTAATATTGAATGGCTGAGAATTTTGGTTTTTCTTCTTCTTTACAGTGACATTTGACCATTTTGAAATTTTGAGAGCCATTGGAAAAGGCAGCTTTGGAAAGGTATGTTTTGGCAAACTATGTATGCAGTGGAAGGAAACAAATTGTATTTTTTTTTTTAGAGCAATAAAATGGGTAGGAAATAATCAGGCTTCAGAGAATATTGTCTTGCCAGTGCCTACAAGCTGAGCCTTATCTCTTGAGAAGTGAGCAACAACTGAAGCCTGGCCCCCTGCATGTTTAGAATCTTCAAATTATATTACAGGATATTAAACTATTCTTATTGATAAACCAGAGATGCGGAATCGTTGTGTAAACATCCGGTGAAGGGAGATCTTCTGTTGAAGCAAATCAGGGCATGCTGGCATTGTGCCCTATTGCTCTGTTCTTCCCCTCTCGCCACTTTGTTTTCTGGAAAGGGATGGGGTGGGGATTTCAGGAGGTGGGAGGGAATTCCCCTGTTTGATTCCTTAGGAATACCACTCTACAGCTGTACATTGGGGTGAACATCATATGGCCTAGGGTCTTGAAAGATCTTGGCAATTGATCATTTCACGCTTCTGCTGAGGGTGGGCTTTCCCTTTCAGAACAGATTGGTAGGTGGGGAGGAAGAAAGGTTAGGAGTGGGGAGAAGAGAAGGGGACTGTGCTTACTTTTGTTGCTGATCTGTTACTGGCTGTAGCCTTGACTGGCCATCGCTGCCATATATGGTTCAAGACCAATAAGCCCCTAAGGAAATGAGATCCTTGCCATAAAAAAAAATGTCCACCTTTGCTTGTGTTTTTACAAAGCAGAGCACAATGTGAAATAATTAACATATTTTTAGAAGTGATAATTTAACTAATTTACAGCAGCAAATTATTTCCATGCAGCAGCCCCCCACCCCAAATTAAAGGTCAGTTACATAGGTATCCATATTCAGTAGCATAATTCCATTGTCCATTCTTCATTTATAAATTGTGGTGCCTTCATTTCCCCCCCCCCATAGGTCTGCATTGTCCAGAAAAATGACACCAAGAAAATGTACGCCATGAAATACATGAATAAGCAGAAATGCATAGAGCGGAATGAAGTGAGAAATGTTTTCAAAGAGCTGCAGATCATGCAAGGGCTGGAGCACCCTTTTCTGGTAAACCTGTGGTAAGTCGTGTGTGGATTTCTCACAAGAGGACCCTATTTTCATGAGGTCATGTGGTTTTGATTTCTTGGGAACCTAGCTGTGTTGGACTAGAGTTGCTTTAACCTTGTTACATCAATGATTTTCTTACCTGCAGGGTTTGCTGGCTTACTTTTTCGGTTTGCATAACCCAGTTTTTATTTGAGTGGTCTTTGCGAGACACAGCAGGTTCCAAGACAACTGTTCACATTTGTGTCTGAGGCAAGTGTCTTGATAGTAGAGTCCATGTTCAGTTCCAGATATAATGACTAGGTTCTTATTAGTTCAAGTGGTGAAGTGTTGTGCTGTTTGCCTTTATTCCTTTTGTGGTAGAGATTGTAATATGTTGTAATATGTTGATGTGCTAGAACTAGAGGTGCAACTATTTTGAGTGGGATATAAGCTTGATAATCAAAAGCCCTTTACAGTGGGGTCTCGACTTACGAACGACCTGACTTGCGAACAATTCGAGTTACGAACCTGCCCTATAGGGAA